TCATGTAAAGTGTACACAAAAATATAGACCTGATCGGTTCAGTCATTTTTGACGTTTATTTGATACGAACAAACTGACAAAAGCTTGCTAACGCACAAACTGACAAAAGCTTGCTAATGTCTTCATAAATCACAAAAGATCTGATGAATTTGTACTTTAGGTTTCATTTCCTATAATTATAAATATAATCAAAAATAGCAAGGTACCGAATGTACCGAGTGTACCGTATGTGAAAGTACACCAATTGTGTACCAAGTATACCAAATGTACCGAATTTCCAGAAAGTTCATTCATGGGTCAAAACATAATGGAATCGCGTTGTTCAGTTTGTTTCTTTTATCTCCTTTATAATTCCCAATTCTCTTCCTTTTCAACCCCCCCCCCCTCTTTACAGCTGGCTGCATCCCAGAGAAAGGGATATGTCCGTTCGTCCGTTCTGCTCGTCTGTTGCATTGCAGGGGTCCTTAGGTCCCTTAGGGGTCCTAGGGGTCTTGAATATACAACATTTAACGGATACTTTATCTTTAATTTTAATTCTTAATTTTCAAATGATGTATATATGTATATATGTATATATGTATATATGTATATATTTTCAAATGATGTATATATGTATATATGTATATATTTTCAAATGATGTATATATGTATATATGTATATATGTATATATTTTCAAATGATTTATATATGTAACTTATTTAAACAAAAACAATAAACATGCATTTGATATAAGTATAAAGTATGAGTGATTCAAAAACCGGAGTTAATGGTTGTAGGTCCCTTAACTTTTTTTTAAAAAACGTGTAAATAGTTGTTAATATTAAAAGGGTCTTTCCAAGAAACTTTTTGTTGTCTGATGCCTTTAGTGAGAACCCATGTCGAATATTCGAAAATATGTCAATCTACTTTTAACAATTTATTATTTCTTCCATGTAATTCAAATATTTATTGGAGAAAATATGATAAATGATAAATACATTTTCATATAAACGTATATATATATATACTGATACATAAAATTATAAATTTCTTGGTCCTCACTTTTCAACCTTTCTCTACTAAACTTATCCTTCATTCCCATTCCTGCAGAATATAAATTTTATAGTATTTTCAACTTTTTTCAGTTTAAATATACATTTTAGATGTTTAAATATATATTTCTTCCAAGACAAAATGTTTCATAGGTCTAACCCAATCATCAGTTGGAATAAAATAAAGAGTTTTATTGGCCGGTATTCTGTTCTATTGGTCGACAGTCACACATCCAACATTTTAATCAGGAAAGCGTAATGTCTCCAATGTCCTACAAATTAGGCAAATAATCTTTTACAAACTGGTAACAGTTTTTTTCGGGGCTTGTAATATAACTTTTCTATGGGGGAATTAACTAAAATTTTATTACACATAGAAAACAAACTGTTCAATTGTGATAACACAATTATATTTAGCGGAGACAATAAAAATTGACGTATTGCATGGTGCATTGTTGTACTGCAGTATCTATTTTTACAACTTTTATTTTCTCCCAATTATATCCTTTCCATTTACAAAACAACTTCTACGCATGTTAATTTCAATCAATTGTTAATAGAAAAATAAAAATGTTAGTATTGTAAAATAAGATTACATATAAGTATAACAGATATCTGTCCGGTCTCAATGATCAGTCAAAGGTTAAAGGGATTCCGTTGGAACTCCCTCTTAAAAAGAATGATTACTTGAAATTACACGTACAGTGTCTTTAAAAGGAAGTAATTATATATAAATATGAAGATATATTCACACACAAATATAAAAATACATATATAAAATATAAATGGTGTAGTTTAAATTTGTTTAATCTATTTTTGAAAATACAGCTTTCCAAAAGAAAAGAGAAAAATATGCAAAATTATGCACAAATAGACGACATTGATCATTACTCATTACATAACATATTTATCATTTTAGTTATTACGTAATCATCGAATCCTTCAACATATAAATTATTCGTTCTTGTATTTAAAAGTTTTTATTAAACCAGAACTTTCCCTTTACATTAGCCTTTCGTTTGTTCGTTCCTTTTTAAAAAACTGACATTTTTTCATTTCTCTGAACAATCAAATTCGTTCGTCGTTTGTTTTTCTGAAAGACATCCTTTTCCACGAAAAATTTCGTTCGTTCTAAAGAATGTTGCTCTTTCAAAAAACTGTTGTTTATCTTATAGATCTCTATGCTTTTAACTCATTGAAATGCAAAGAAATTGAGTTTCCCAAGGTCAATTTCGCAGATATGCAATTGTAACCGTTTAAGCAATTAAAATAAAGTGGAATAAACTAAATTTTGAAATTAGATTCAATCATTATTGGGATTTTCAATATCAATAAAGTAATCATCACGATCTTACTGTACACGTTTTTCAAAAGTTAATGTGCACTTTTCAGTGAAATTTGTGTAATTTATATAAAGCACCCCCCCCCCTTAAGTTCAGTACATTTTGATTTATCCCGGTATGCAAAATATCAATGTTTTTCGTTCTGACTGTAGAACTTTATTGTCTTTTTTGTCCAATCAGAAGCAAACCAGAATATAATCGGCTAATGAGAAGTTATCAGTAAGTGATAGCCAATTCTAACAGATTATTATTTTAAAAAAAGGAAACCATATCAGAGTGTTTGATTGATCGAACTGTCCAAAACAACATTAGGATTTCTTATATAAAAATGCAATTTTAATCTAAACTTTAAATCTTTTTTTAACTGTAATTCAATTATGAAAATAAAATACTTCAATTTCTGTCCATTAGAGGAAAAGAAAAATTATAAGTATGTATTAATCGACACTTTTTTTTACAAATAGAGACATTTATGGGACACCCTTCAGACTGATACTAAAAATTCAGATTCTCGTAAATGCATTTGCCATTCTTGTAATGCCAACTGTAGCTTCTATTCCTTGAAAAACATGGACATTCCAAACACCCCCCCCCACCTTTTAAAAACCTCCACAAAAATCGAAAACCCAAAAGTTATTTATTTTTTATTACTTCATATTTTTTTTTGTTAAGAGGAGGAATAAAGTCAAAATCTTATATTTCAAATTTGTTGGACTTAAACTTGACGAATTTTTTAATTTTGCAAAAAAGGTAATGAGAGCGGTTAATAATAGTTTTCAAAACTGAAAGTTCTGAAATCTTGATAATACATACAAACTTTTTGTTCTGACATTTATGCATGGATACTTCAATGATAACCTTCCCTCTTCCTTCCGAAATATGCTTAATTTTTTTGCTGAACCAAACAGAACAAACCCATATAAATTAGAAGTTTAGAACGGGTTTTAAACAAAAATCTAGAAGGCTTTCCGTCCGCAATGTTTCCTAAATTGTGGAATGCAATTGAAATTGACCTGAAAGAAACTAAATCTGCAAAGAGAAATCAGTGTTTATCTTGAGAATTATGAGGTTTAAATACGAAAAAACTAGTTGTATATCGTGTGAATAAATTTTATATAAAAATTGAAACTTTAATAGCTTATTTGTGTTTCTGATCCACCATCCTTAACACGGAACACCCTGTATTTTAATTTATCTCTACATTAAAATCCCTCTGATCTCACCCTGCCGCAGATCACCTAAAAATCAACTCCTTACCTATCCAAAAACATAACTTGATACGTGTAACCAATTATATTCAGTATCGTTATTTAACTTCGGGCCAACCACTCAAAACAACCAACCCTGGTTAGGCGGGTCCAAACTGCATAGTAAATTGAGATTGCTTATTTGTAATATCTCATGCTTTGAAGTTGAATAAAAATATGAATGAATGAATATAAAATACTAATTAGTGCCTTTCTAAGACATTTTTCATGGAACTTTTCAAATGTGTTTAACTGAAAAACATTTTTATATTCATTTTTGAAGAATTTTTTGTGTGGAATATATTTGTTCGTTCAGTTGCTTTCTGTATTATTATCACTATTTTTTTGTTTCATAAATTCAAGTTCCTCAAGGGTGTAATATGACCAGCTATCTGCTATTTTTATCAACCTCGGGAGTTAAACATAAAATATATAGCTATATAAATAGCAAAAAAAAACATGTATGATTTATATACGAAATGTAAAAAAAGTTTAATATTTAATTTGGTGTATAGTAGTCTGTAAATATAATGGGAATTTGTAATGTATTTTCAATTTTCTCCATGTTTCATATTTATACATATTTGTCAGAGGAGTATTAACGGGGGGGGGGGCTTGGGGGCTCAGCCCCTCACTCCCAGGACCAGTGAAATCTATGGATTTCAGGGGTTTTCAGGCCACATAACGTGTGCTGAGCATTGAGCCCCCCCCCCCCCAAGAACAAAAATTACATCTAAATGAACCATAAATTTATAATTGTCTCTGGTTGTTTTCGTGTTTAATCGATTTCCCATCATTATTGATTTTAGAATTCTGATCTCCATTTTGATTGACATTTGATTGTTTTACAGCTTGCCCTTTCTAAACATCGCACTTAAACTCTTAACAAAATCGTTGGAAAACACAATTTAAAGGTCAAATCTTAATTTCAAAACTTTCTCCCTAAAAATGCTGCCCATGCCTAGTCCAAGGCAATCAATACAAGGTCAAGTTGGGATGACCTAGACCCACTTTTTTCTTATTAACATATGGGTATGGGCACGGATTTAAAATTTCAATGGATAAAGTGAAAAAAAATCAATAGAATTAGTAAAGCGATATATGTTAATTATTTAGTATTATATTTAATTTGTGCATAATTCGTATAAACTAAAAATTTAGAATATAAGAAAATGCGGCAAGCTAATTTTAGTAAATACACGAATTTTTGAAAATTTTAAATCTTTTTTATGATGTCTTCCTCTTATACTTCAAATGGACCAAGAAAGCAGTACAAAAGACCAATCAGAAGAGAGGAACATTGTTTACAAACAAATCATCAACAAGAAAAAGAAAACTGGTTATACAATATAACTGTAAGTATTAACGATTTCTTCCCCCCTATTAGACGTGACAGTACAAATTTTTAGTTTTCCCCTCATTGGCTTAAATTCTACCTTTCTTCCCTGTGATTGGTCAGAGCGGTGAGCGCGGTAGAATTTGATTTCTCTCCACTCTTAATCCCGCATTGTACTATCAAACTGTGGACGAGAAACATCTATAATATGTAGCTAAACTTTTAAGTAGTGACTAAAATTTATTTTGAGAAATTACTTGCATAGTTAGTCTCGATCTGTGATATCAGAGTTTAGTATTTATCAACTAGTTAAATAATTCCAAGATGTCTTCGTTGGATAACTTGATTGATCAGGAGAACAGACATCTAGGAGGAGGACCTCTTGGACGTAGAACTAAGGTTGTCGAGGCTGAACCGACCAGATTACGGCCTGCCCTCGGTGAAATCTCGCAAAATCAGAGAAGGCAGCCTCTCAGGAATACTAGCAATAAACCTCAGGTAAATTATAATATTTTTGTTTGACTTTACATTCAATAAGTAGATATAATGGGGTCTGTCCTATAAAGAACGATTTTTGGACCTCCCTATCATTTGGATCTCATATATCACATAGATATAATCGGCTATGTCGCCGTCGCGCCGGACAACCTAGCCTATCCTGCCCACAGCGCTCGGCCCGTCCTAGCCGTAGTGCTCGGCCCAGAAATTGTCTTAATAATGAAAAATAAATAATAATAATTTTGCTAAAAAATAAGTGGTCGTGTACAAAATTGATAGTAGGGGGGAGGGGGTGGTCTACAAATCGTTCTCCAGAAAAGAATATTAACGATTTCTGGACAACCCGCCCCTCCCCCTCCCTCCCATCCGTTTTGTATACATGTATTGGACTTATGAGTTCCATGTATAAAATTGATAGGAGCAAGTTTGTATATGTATTTCATATTGAACACATGAATAAAGCTGGTCATGTGGCCGCAGCGCCCAGCCCTAGCTTGTCCTAGCTGCAGCGCTCGGGCCAGAAGTGTCTTAACCGAACCATTTATATACACTAAAATCGTGAAAACCGATAAAAAGAGTATAAAATTGAAGGAGGGGGTGGGGGGTCTAAAAATCGGTTTCTAGTTCAGACCCAAAATATATATCCATTTAATTGTTTCTTCCCTAATTTTGGCTTGTGAAATTAACTCGTTTTAGAATTATGAATAGTCTTTTTTCACATCTCATTTTTTGCGGGGAGGGGGGGGGGGTTTGATCATTTTACGATTATTTCCCGCTGGAACCAGGGACGTATTCAGGAATTTTTGGGACTGGTCCACTTTTTTTCAGAAACTTGTTTGGTTAAGTAACAACTTAAACTTTTGATATGGTAACTATGGTCATAACACCGATATGTGTATCCAAAAGCTGTTTGAGTGTCTCTTCATAACTCAACAATTGTGCTTGGTGTCAATCCAACAGCTGTTTGGTGTCTCCCAGCAATTGACTCAACAGCTTTTTGTCGATCGAAATGTTTTTGGTGTCTCCCCAACAACAGGGGTTTGCGTCTCCTAACAGTGTTTAACAGCGTTTGGCGTCTCTCAACAAAGTTTCGTATCTCACAATATTGTTCGTCTCAATGATTCTGTGTTGCGTCTCAACTGTGTTGGCAGTGCTTAGGATCCGGATCCGTTGGATCCGCAAGATTTTGGATCCACTAGGGGTAAAATATCAACCAAAAACTACAAAAAAAAACTTAACACCTAAAACCCAAATCTGAACTTTTGAAAGAGATTGTTAAAATTTCCTCATTTCTGAATGGTTCATTAAGTTTTAGGAAAAAAATAAGCGAAAAAATAAAACAAAAAATTTAATATTTTTTGTAAAAAAATTCAGTAAATCTTAAAGAAATGACCTGGATCCGGATCCATTTATTTTCAATGCGGATCCAGGATCCGGATCCGCATCAAATTTGGTTTTTGGTGTCCAACATTGTTTCGTGTCTCGCAATATTGTTGGTTTTAACAATTCTGTTTTGCTTCTCAGCTGTTTTTTAAGGTCGAGCTATATTTGTTTTCCCTATAATGTTTGGGGTGCCTTGATTTTGTTTAAGGTGTCTCTACTTTTTGCTTGATGTCCCTATAATTTGGGTGGTGTCCCCACAATTTGGGTGGTGTCCCCACAATTTGGGTGGTGTCCCCACAATTTGGGTGGTGTCCCCACAATTTGGGTGGTGTCCCCACAATTTGGGTGGTGTCCCCACAATTTGGG